TTAGTTTTGATGCAAAAACGCATGATCGCACCGGCTCGCCTGGTGCGTTCCAGCCTTTGTTTGGTAGTGTGTGGTGTCAGACTCATTTCTTTTAGTTTTCCTGTGTAGAGTTTTGTGATGAAACAGGCAGCTCGCATATTTTCGGATATTAATATTTATTTTAAGCATTCGCTTCCACATTTTATGCCAATATTTCTTTTCGACGGGCTCTTCTCTCTCTCTCTCTCTTCCTGTGTATATTCTCACGTAATGTTTGTTTTTTATAAATTGTACTTAAGACTGAGGACGCCACTGCCCTGGCTAAGTGCGCGCCTTCAGTATTGTTTTCAAAAAAAGACTTGGAATGTGATGCTAAGTTGCCTAGAAACCCACCATTCAGATCTGAAGGAAGAAAAAAAAACTGTGGAAATGAAACATGCGAGCCGACACATGGATGGATAGGCATTTTCTTGCACGCACAGAAACGAGCTGATCCACTCTTGCTCACGAATCACTATTTATAGATTGAAGTTAAGGAAAAAATTGCACCGATGGGCGGATGAGTGCAAGCCAGGAAGCTCCCGCTATCGCTGAATGGGTCATAAATTGTCTCTGTTTGAAAACGACGGTTACCAAATTGCAATGCTTGGTCTGGATAATGCAGGAAAATCAACTATTATCTATCAGCTAAAGATGAAACAGTTCCTGCAGCAAGCCCCTACTGTTGGTTTCAATTGCGAAAAGGTTTCTTCTGTGCAATTTTTCCCCAGGAAAAGCGGAAAGAATTAATTTTAAGTTATCGGAGAGGCATTCTTTTCTTCCGGTCGCAGTTATCCTTTCGTTTTACTTGATCAGATCATCGACTTTTTCATTTGGCATCTGCAGACGCTTTTAGCTGAAAGAAAGCACTCTTCATTCCTTTCTTGTCAAATTCCTCCCATGCCTAGCCTCAAAAAAAGACTTATGTCCACTTTCAAATTCGACTTTTTGGGGTTTTTCTGCTCCCTTTATTAGTTTGGCATGGAAATGCACTGGTTTAATTCAACTACGGGTCAGTGTTCAAAGTTGGCAGATTTCATCAAAAAAGCTGGCAGGATTTTTTCGCCTTCTGAACCGATTCCTTCTTTTGGGCTGTTGATCCGTGCACGTATTTCAAGTAATTTGAATCGCTCAAAGCTACAACAACTGCTGTACGAGCGTGAATATAATCAGCATGTCTTGCGCCTAATTAAATTAGTTCAGGGCAGCCAAACTCAAACAGTGCGTCATGCAGAATGCGCACTTTCATCTTTTACTTTCCTCACTTCCGATCATTTAGCACCTGATTTGTGTGTGTATCAATTGTACCG